TCAAGCATTTATCCAGATGTGAACCCCAGCTGTGACAAATGCTCAAGAGGTGAGTTTTCTCTTATCTATACGTATTGGACGTGTCCAAGCCTTGAAAAATACTGGAACGGCATTTTCCAAACCTCATCATTAATCCTCAACTCTGACCTGCAACCCCACCCTCTGGTCGCCCTCTTTGGCACCACTGGAGAGGATGATGTATGTCTGACTCTGATCCAACAGCGTACACTGTCTTTCGCCTCTCTGCTGGCCAGATGAGCAGTTGTAATCAGATTGGGGGATGTTGCCCCGCCCACCCATGCTGCGTGACTGAGTGACATTAATCTTGAAAAGCCATGCTACGCAATTTGTACCTCAGATGAAAAATTCCAAAAGGTGTGGGGACTCTTTCTGAAATACTTTTGAAGATTTTGTGTTTGTTTCTTGTTGTTGTTGCTTTCTGTCAGTGTATACTCTGATAAAGTACCCCATTATTCTGACCCTGCCTTTTACATAGGCATCTCTCCCCCTCTCTTTTAACATTAAGCCTGACTTTCAGCCTATCTATCATTTTTTGTACTATTCAGGAGACGGAGAACCGTCCTATTGACGACATTCCAGCTGTTATTTGGGGTTGGTGGGAATGGGGAGGATTGTGATTGGATTTCATGCCTTGTTCCTCGTCATATATATGTTTTAAGTTTGATACCTGTTGTGAATTTGCAATGAGTAAACCTATTAAAATTTAATATAAAAATATTGTCAATAAAAAAAGAAGGTTTTATTGGTGATTTTTTATGGTAAAAGTGCTGCTACACTCTGTTACAGTTCCACCTTGGTAGCAATGAAAGTACAGAGATGCCACAATACAGAAGACCCGGAAATGCTGACCAATTAGAGCAGACTGGGCTTAAAGGGACAGGCACAAAAACAGAGATTCAGACAGAGGGTGAAAGTATAAAACTACAGGTCCCACACTAATTGAGCAGCTAGTTTGTAAAAAAGACCACGGAAGTAAATTAAATGCAATTCTTTATTACAGACTGGGCGGCACTGTGGTTCAGGGGTTAACATTGTCACCTCACAGCATCAAGGTTCCTGGTTCAGACCCAGGGTGGGGGGTTGTCAGCGTGGGTTTTCTCAGGGTACTCCAGCTTCCTCCCACAGTCCAAAAACATGTAAATTAGATTAACTGGTGACTCTAAATTGTCCATAGGTGTGAATGTGAGCATGAATGGTTGCCCATCTCTATGTGTCAGCCCTGTGATAGTCTAGTGAACACTATAACAGGATAAGCGGTTTCAGAAAATGAATGAATTAATGTTACTCACTATTAGTTTTATGCACAACAGCAGGCTACTGTGGAGTTTGTTACCTTGCTGAGGAGCTGGAGATGTGCAGCCTGCAGTTCTTGATCTAACAGCTCACTGATGCTGCTCCTTCTGGTTCCATTACTCCCCTGCAAGACATTAAAAATTATACGCTGTTAAATAAAAAGCAGTGAATGAACGTTTTGCATTTTGATGAAGAATTGCGGCCCATGCTAATTCAGCAACAAACACATTGTGTGGCTGGTTCACGGTGAAGGCCAACCTGGTTTCGGCAATTTAACTCTTTTTCTAAGAAGCAGTGGCAGTGGGACGTTCACACAGCAGGAACTAAATGTAGCTCTGACACGGTGTAAAGACAGTGAACAGTAAACAGTGGGACTCGGAGAAGGATTACATGCACACATGGTTTTCCTGAATCCCTTGTGCCTGTCAAAGCAATGTTCATCCAGAGCAGGAGTGGCAGACTCCACCACTGCCAATAAAAACTATGTGAATGAATGGCAGAAAAAACGCTGACAATATTATCAAAATGGGGTCTGATTTCATGAAAATCTTGTGGATTATAACTTTAAATTGTGACATGTAAAAGATTTTTGTGCAATTTTCTTAAAAGATATCAATCAAAAGACAATCTTTGTTGCATTTTCATTTTTCTTTTGCCTTAAACTCTGTCTGACTCCCAGTTTCTCCCCTCTTCCTCTTTCTTTTGCCGATTTCTGTCTCTCTGTCTTTCTGACACACTTGAACACACACACACACACACATATAGATATATACATACACACACTCAGAGCAGACTGCTGGGCTGTTGTAAGCCTATGGGGAGACTTGTCAGCTCTCATTGGCTTTTGGAGCACACCCCTTCCCTTTCCTTCTCCTTGTCCCTGTGTGCTGCAGCACGCCTGTCACTGCCCACACACTCAATTCACTTTGTGTGTGTGTGTGTGTGTGTGTGTGTGTGTGCGCGCGCACTGGGCATATTCAGCTTTCCATCTGTGCTTGAATGTGAGTGGGCATGGGCAGCATTAAGTGCGTGTATTTTTTGGTGATGTCTGTCATGGAAGTGTGTTTTGGGTTGCTTGTTTGTATGTACAGTACAGGCCAAAAGTTTGGACACACCTTCTCATTCAATGCGTTTTCTTTATTTTCATGACTATTTACATTGTAGATTCTCACTGAAGGCATCAAAACTATGAATGAACACATGTGGAGTTATGTACTTAACAAAAAAAGGTGAAATAACTGAAAACATGTTTTATATTCTAGTTTCTTCAAAATAGCCACCCTTTGCTCTGATTACTGCTTTGCACACTCTTGGCATTCTCTCCATGAGCTTCAAGAGGTAGTCACCTGAAATGGTTTCCACTTCACAGGTGTGCCTTATCAGGGTTAATTAGTGGAATTTCTTGCTTTATCAATGGGGTTGGGACCATCAGTTGTGTTGTGCAGAAGTCAGGTTAATACACAGCCGACAGCCCTATTGGACAACTGTTAAAATTCATATTATGGCAAGAACCAATCAGCTAACTAAAGAAAAACAAGTGGCCATCATTACTTTAAGAAATGAAGGTCAGTCAGTCCGGAAAATTGCAAAAACTTTAAATGTGTCCCCAAGTGGAGTCGCAAAAACCATCAAGCGCTACAAAGAAACTGGCACACATGAGGACCGACCCAGGAAAGGAAGACCAAAAGTCTAAGAGTTAACAGCAGCTCAGATCAGAGACCAGATGAATGCCACACAGAGTTCTAGCAGCAGACCCATCTCTAGAACAACTGTTAAGAGGAGACTGCGCGAATTAGGCCTTCATGGTCAAATAGCTGCTAGGAAACCACTGCTAAGGAGAGGCAACAAGCAGAAGAGATTTGTTTGGGCCAAGAAACACAAGGAATGGACATTAGACCAGTGGAAATCTGTGCTTTGGTCTGATGAGTCCAAATTTGAGATCTTTGGTTCCAACTGCCGTGTCTTTGTGAGACGCAGAAAAGGTGAACGGATGGATTCCACATGCCTGGTTCCCACTGTGAAGCATGGAGGAGGAGGTGTGATGGTGTGGGGGTGTTTTGCTGGTGACACTGTTGGGGATTTATTCAAAATTGAAGGCACACTGAACCAGCATGGCTACCACAGCATCCTGCAGCGACATGCCATCCCATCCGGTTTGCGTTTAGTTGGACGATCATTTATTTTTCAACAGGACAATGACCCCAAACACACCTCCAGGCTGTGTAAGGGCTATTTGACCAAGAAGGAGAGTGATGGAGTGCTGCGGCAGATGACCTGGCCTCCACAGTCACCGGACCTGAACCCAATCGAGATGGTTTGGGGTGAGCTGGACCGCAGAGTGAAGGCAAAGGGGCCAACAAGTGCTAAACACCTCTGGGAACTCCTTCAAGACTGTTGGAAAACCATTTCAGGTGACTACCTCTTGAAGCTCATGGAGAGAATGCCAAGAGTGTGCAAAGCAGTAATCAGAGCAAAGGGTGGCTATTTTGAAGAAACTAGAATATAAAACATGTTTTCAGTTATTTCACCTTTTTTTGTTAAGTACATAACTCCACATGTGTTCATTCATAGTTTTGATGCCTTCAGTGAGAATCTACAATGTAAATAGTCATGAAAATAAAGAAAACGCATTGAATGAGAAGGTGTGTCCAAACTTTTGGCCTGTACTGTATGTGATGCATGTCAGTGCGGTAACATGTGTATGAGTGAATAAATGATTCACAAGTGTATATTTGTGTGTTTGTGTGCTTTTTACAGCTCTAAAACACCCTGCATTCTTCCTCTTCCTGCCTTCGTCTCCCTAGTTGACCAAAGCAAATTTCCATAGACATGCCTTCAAACCATGTACTCCGCTCAGTGTTAGTGAAACATGTCGGGTACTGCACCACTTAAGCCCCTGGGAGACGAAAAAGTAAGGATGTGAAAACAGATATGATTTGGGACACAGACTCATACTTGAAATAAAAAAAAAAGCCACAGAGGAAGCAGATGTGATTTACTCGAGCAAATAAAGAATACTATCCTACAGGGATTCTGTATAACACAACACACTGCCTGGCAGCCATATTGGAGCTTCTCTGATTTTGGTCAACAGCTGCCGTGAATAGCCGACTGTGTTCAGCCTAATAAACATACAATGCAGGCATCACACCAGAACAGATAAGGTGGTTTACAGCGCTGCTTTTGATTTGGACAATGAGGCTAATTAGTTGTAATTATTGTATTATCATTTATTGTATTGTTCAACCATCCATCCATTTTCATCCCGTTATCCGGGGCTCAGTTGCAGGGGGCAGCAGGCCAAGCAAAGCACCCCAGTCGTCCCTCTCCCCAGCAACACTTTCCAGCTCCCCCTGAGGGATCCCAAGGCGTTCCCAGGCCAGATGAGATATGTAATCCCTCCAGCGTGTTCTGGGTCTGCCCCGGGGCCTCCTACCAGTGCGACACACCAGAATTGCATCTCAGCTTTTCGCAGATGTTGTGGCTCTGTTGGCATCATCACATCATGACATTCAGTAGGCACTGGGGCGGTCTGCAGCTGAGTGTGAAGCGGCTGAGATGAGAGTCAGCATCTCCAAATCTGAGGCCAGGGTTCTCTGCCAGAAAACGGTGGATTGCCTCCTCTGGGTTGGCCTCAAGCGAGGGATTTTAACTGTCTCAGGGTCTTGTTCACCAGTGAGGGTAGAATGGAGCACGAGATGAATCGGCAGTTTGGTGCAGCATCTGCAGTGATGCGGGTGCTGCGCCGTGCTGAAAAAGGAGCAGAGCCGGAAGGCAAAGCTTTCGATTTACAGGTCCACATACGTCCCAACCCTCACCTATGGTCATGAGATCTGGGTAGTGACCGAAAGAATGAGGTTGTGGATACAAGCGGCTGAAATGAGTTTCATCTGAAGGGTGGTTTGGCTCAGCCTTAGAGATAGGGTAAGAAACTCGGATATCCGCAGAGAGCTCGCAGTCGAGACACTGCTCCTTCGCGTCGAAAGGGGTCAGTTGAGGTGGTTCAGGCATCTGATCAGGATGCCTCCTGGGCGCCTCCCATTACTTTATTGTACACTGCCTGGCCAAAAAAAAAGTCGCCACCTGGATTTAACTAAGCAAATAGGTACGAGCCTCCTATTGGATAATTACTGCATGGGCGATTATCTTTCAGCTGGCAACAAGTTATTTAACCCCAACTGGTGCAATGAATTGCTTCTCATTTCCTAAACAACCATGTCGAAAGACACATCCTGTGGTCGTGGAAAAGATGTTAGTCTGTTTGAGAAGGGTCAAATCATTGGCATGCATCAAGCAGAGAAAACATCTAAGGAGATTGCAGAAACTACTAAAATTGGGTTAAGAACTGTCCAACGCATTATTAAAAACTGGAAGGATAGTGGGGACCCATCGTCTTCGAGGAAGAAATGTGGCCGGAAAAAAATCCTCAATGATCGTGATTGGCGATCACTTAAACGTTTGGTGAGATCAAATCGAAGAAAAACAACAGTAGAACTCAGGGCTATGTTTAATAGTGAAAGTAAGAGCATTTCCACACGCACAATGCGAAGGGAACTCAAGGGATTGGGACTGAACAGCTGTGTAGCCTTAAGAAAACCACTAATCAGTGAGGCTAACCGGAAAAAAAGGCTTCAATTTGCTAGGGAGCATAAAGATTGGACTCTGGAGCAATGGAAGAAGGTCATGATGAGTCCAGATTTACCCTGTTCCAGAGTGATGGGCGCATCAGGGTAAGAAGAGAGGCAGATGAAGTGATGCACCCATCATGCCTAGTGCCTACTATACAAGCCTGTGGGGGCAGTGTTATGATCTGGGGTTGCTGCAGTTGGTCAGGTCTAGGTTCAGCAACAGTATGTGCTCAAAGAATGAGGTCAGCTGACTACCTGAATATACTGAATGACCAGGTTATTCCATCAATGGATTTTTTCTTCCCTGATGGCACGGGCATATTCCAAGATGACAATGCCAGGATTCATCGGGCTCAAATTGTGAAAGACTGGTTCAGGGAGCATGAGACATCATTTTCACACATGGATTGGCCACCACAGAGTCCAGACCTTAACCCCATTGAGAATCTTTGGGATGTGCTGGAGAAGGCTTTGCGCAGCAGTCAGACTCTACCATCATCAATGCAAGATCTTGGTGAAAAATTAATGCAACACTGGATGGAAATAAATCTTGTGACATTGCAGAAGCTTATCGAAACAATGCCACAGCGAATGTGTGCTGTAATCAAAGCTAAAGGCGGTCCAACGAAATATTAGAGTGTATGACCTTTTTTTTTGGTGGTGACTTTTTTTTTGGGCAGGCAGTGTATATTGCCAATTACTAGGCAACAAGTGTGTCTGCTCACTTACTTTAGTTCTGTCCGTTTAGTTTTTTTAATGTGTAAATGTTCACATACCTCCTAAAGAGGTCATAGTGGAATAAATAAAAGTCAGTAGCGGCTACAACTAGCTAATATTAGGTCTGTGTATCATTCAAGAAATTATGATACCAGTATTAATACCAGTACCATTAAAGTGATACCAGTACCAAAAATGACTTGATTTGAAACCTTGAGTAGAAGGCCACTAAACTTCACAATCATACAGAGCTGCAATTATTAGTTGATCAACGGAAAAAAAATTGCCAATTATTTTTGCTAGTCGATTAATCACGTAGGTAATTTTTCATGCAAAAATGGCAGAAAATGCTGTTTTCAGCCTCTAAAACAGAGATTTTCTGCTTTTCTCTGTTTTATATCACATTTAACTGAATATCTTTTGGGCTGACATAACAAGACCTTTACAGTCATCACTTTGGACTTTGAGAACTAGAAATTGACATTTTTCACTATTTTCTAACATTCTATAGACCAAATGATTCATCCGTTAATCAAGAAAGTATTAAGCAGATTAATCAGTAATGAAAATAAGTGTTAGTTGCCGGCATGTTGTACTGCCATACTTCTGAAGGTTTTGGTGGCCCTTCGGCATGCTGACCTGCCAACCCCATCAAATACACTGCCCTTGACTTCACCACACCAAAGACAGTATGGGTTTTTATCTAAATCTGGGTTTAAAAAGAATTGAATACAGGTATCATTTGGAGAAGTTTCAAGGTTATTTCAGTCAATACCTTACTGTTACCCAGCCCTAGCTAACATACAAACACTAGCATGTATACTATATTTTAGAAGGTAATGCACAAATGACAGTAGATAAATGTGATTGATCTTCTTACATTCATACAATGTCTGAGAGACTACCTAGCCTAAAATTTTCACATGTATGCTAAAGAGAGTTCGTCGAGAATTGGAGAAGATTTAAGTATGCGTTGAGAAACATGCAGTGCTTCTAGTTCAAACTTAACAACTTCTTGAGCTCTCCGCAAATGATCAGTGTCAGAAGTGTTTAATACACAACCAATGAGATGAGTCATGCATGATGTACCCTAAAAGTGACCTGTAATGGAGGGAAAAAGGTTTCATGCGCCCAAACTCTTTGTGATAATCGGGTTCTTCCCTGTACTGAAATATATAATTGAGAAACTGCATTTTTGTACTTAGTGAGGGTCTTTGTCATGTATTTATAATTCCCCAACACTTTTCTGCTACCAGGTGCAAGTTAGGGAAATTGAACTATGCCACATGGAGCCCCACATTCATCATGTTTCCAGAGCCTAGCAATGACAAAGACAGCAGTAGCCAGAAATACAAGAACGAAATGTGACCAGACTAAACAAAGAGCACAGAAACAGTTGTGCTTGTGTGCTCATTAACCTCGACTTGACTTTCACACAGTTGCTAACATGCTATAACTGAACTCCTCTGAGAAGGCATTTCCAGGCTGCACGTGGCTTCAGTTACAGTGTCTGGAGATTTCAGGCAGACATCAGTCATTTCAACACCATTTACATTCTGAGCATCTGGAGCACCATCTCTCCCTCTGGGTCAACTTGATTTCCTCTGAAAAGTTGCAGTAGGTTGAAGGATTCAGTACAGATTCTTGTCTTTTATGCAGTTTTCGTTATCATTTATTTGATAATAATTTATAATATGGTGCACAAAAATCTGGGTAGTTGCCAAAGAACTCAAAAAAATGATGAGTTACTAGGGAACTGACGGGGCATACTATATTAAAGGTACTGTATGCAACATTTAGAAACAACTATTTGCTATGTAAAGATATAGTGGAGTAATGGCGTCCTGAGCAGAGGCAGTAATTTCTTGGTGTATGTTCAACACATTCTCACTCCAACCTCATCACATATCGAAGTTTGGTCATGGACCATTCACAACCAGATACAATGTGAAAGGTACCCTGGGTAACGTTCTGGAACGCCGTGTCAAGTTGCACCTGTTACATGTATTGTCTTCTTTGACAATACACTTCCATTTTCACAGGAAATTAGTTGTTTTGTCGTCTCTCTCAAAATAAACGCACTACATTAGTACAACAACGCAAATTGCCGTTTATTTTTTCCTTTAACAACTGACGCTCACGATTGAGTTTAGGCAACAAAAACATGTGGATGGGTTTCGGAAAAAAGAACACGGTTTGGCTTTAGAATCTTTCGGGATGCAAAAACTGCTCTACTGGGTGAAAATCAGTGTTTGTTCGACACACCCACCCTACTTGGACTTTCATCACCTTAACTTTCGTTCCTTACTCACCGCATTTACCCTCTGACGCTGCTGGCTGTCGTTAAACTATAACAGCGTCCAGCCATATATCATGCCGATGTTGAAGGATGACTTTCTTCGTCAGTGTCTGATGCTGCAAGTCACTGCCAAAGCACTAAATTTTGACAACTTTGGAGAAAGACTGGGTTGGTATGTTGTAATCTGAGCAGTCCAGCGGCATGTGCATGTTAGTGCATGGCGGTCCCTGTGTGTTTCCCACTGTCTAGCAAATCGCCGCCGCTCTGCACCATGCTCACATGGCAGTTACCACTGACAACGCCATCTGAGAGTCGTCCAATCTCTCTTTCCACATTAATTCCATTAAATATGCACCTCTGTTACATCATACACAAACCACATAGCTATCAGCTGTGCGCTCAAGATTTTTTTTTTTTTTCCGTTTGTTTTAAAACAATAAACAGAGACCAAAAATTACAAACAATTTAGCCAACAGCAAGTACCCTAGCTCATTATTAGTGATGGTCGTTTACCTTACCAGAAACTTTTAGCTTCCCTTCAATCTCCCTCCAGCCAGCTGCCACCTTTTTTAGGTTTTTGTAGTGAAATAAAAAGATATCATAAAGATATTTTTTAATTTCAACTTCATGAATCAGCAATTCCTCGTCCATTGCAACACTTTCAAAGAGGGTTTTCTAGAGAGACTAACTCCTATCTCCTCTCGTCACCCCCCCAAAAAAAAAAAGAACTTTCAAGTAAACAAACACAGCGTGTGCTGCCCTTCCCCCGCTCCCACCTGTACTGATATTTGATAGCTCCATTAGTCCATTTATCAATAAAATATTATATTAATCATGTTGTGATATTGCTTATTATTAATACAATCCAATGACTTGGACTTACAGCTGTGACACCATCAGCACAGGTTGCTGATGTAGGCTTCTTTTTAATTTGCCAGAACTTTTGAATCAAACCAGTTTAATTTGGTACACAGGACTGGACCAGAAAACTGTAAATCAAGGCAACCCTAGTCACCACTGTTGTCGTTGTTAGCACAGTTAGCTCTGTAAGCCGCATGCTAAGACACCTCCATGTCAAGAGCTGTGCGCAGACACTCTTGGCTCAGACTCTGAATCAAAGACAAAATCTG